GGGCAACAAATATGGTCAGAGGCCTGGGAAGCAAGGTAGATGAGGGGAGGCTGGAAGAGCTGTGGAGAAGAGGACCGTGAGGAGAAATTCGATAACAGGCTTGTATTATGCAAAGGGCAAGTCTACAGATGCTGAAGATGGGCTTTTCTCTGTGGTGGTGGGGGACAGGCCGAGGAGCCACGGCTTCAAAATGCAGTAGTACTAACTGAGATTGGAGACCAGGAGGAACTTCCTGGCTCTAACGGGGGTCAAGCACTGGAACAGGTGGTCTAGAAGTAGCATTGGAGTCTTGAAATGTCCAAGAGTAGATTGAACAAACCCTAGTCTCTGACAATTTAGTCAGGGCTGATCCTGCCTGGAACATCCATCCTGCTCCACAGATGCGTTCCAAGCTTGTTTCTGGGCAAGGCTGGGTGAGGCATGCTTAACCAGCCCTAACTCACCAGGAGTGCAGTACTCATGAACAACACGTGCCCCCAGAGGCTGGGGGTGAGGGGTTGCACGGTGACCACCTACAGGTGGTGGTGGCAGTGGCAGCGGCAGGGGCATGGCAGCGGCAAGAGGGAGCTCCTGCAGGCAGCCATGGCAGTGTCAGCAGTGGGGGGAGGGGGTGAGTAGACGCCACCGGCAGCACAGCCACCCGCAGACACAACCATCAGGAATGGCGGTGGCCAGCGGTGATCAGCAACTGCCCATAGACGCTGCCATGGGTGTTGGCGGCAAGGGTGGGGGGGCATGGCGAGTGGCAACTGTCCACAGGTGCCACTGGCAGCGGCAGTGGTGGCTGATTGCAGGGGGTACACTGCTAATCTCAGGGGGTGCATGTGTACCTGCGTGCACCCCCTACACATCACCAGTGGCAATACTGGTTCTGGCACCAAAGTGAGCCCTTCAGTATAAAGTTTAGCCTTTCCCTAGATACCTTCCTGGCTCACATAGAGCTGGTCTTTCCCTCCTAGGACCTTCAGGGAAGTGTGGTGAGGATCTGCCACTTCCTGGGGAAGAAGCTGAGTGAAGAACAAATATCCTCAGTGGTGAAGAACGCTTCCTTCCAAACCATGCGGGAGAACCAGATGTCCAATGGTTCACAGATCCCTGATGAGTACATGGATCACCAGAAAGGGCAGTTCCTTAGGAAAGGTGGGCACTGAACTGGGTGATAGGGGGCTGCAGTCAGGATTGAGGGGTACGGGCAGGGCTGAGGGCCCCAGAGCTGGTGCCCTACATCTAACTGGGGTCTCATGTCCCTCCCTGGCTCTTCAGGGGTGTCTGGAGACTGGAAGAACTTGCTGTCAGAGGAGCAGAGCCACCGCATCACCACCATGTCCTGCGAGCGGCTGCATGGGCTTGGTATTGACTTTCCCTGGGACTGACATACCCCCAGGGCCCCTCTGTGCAGCTCCAGCCAGGGTATGAGCCAACACACCCCTCCCCTAAGCCCCACAGCTGCTGTAAACCCATAGAGGTGCTGTCAATTCTCCAGAGAAGAGTCTGAGACTGGCATAGGGGTGCACCCCAGGCACATGCACCCCAGGCAACTGCAGGCCATGAGGGGAGCGCCTTGGTCCTAGGTCCCCACATCACTTCCACAGCATCCCTGTGCCAGGATGCACTTGATCCTTTGCTCTATACCTTCCATGCCCTTGCTAAGAGAACCCAGCTGAGCCACCTCACCCAGGCTTTCTTTGCCCCATGGGTCAGCCCAGGCCTGCCCCTATTAGAGCTGAGCCTGCCCCAGGGCTGCTAGCAACATAGCCAGGCACTGTCTTCTGTTCAGCCGTTAAGCCGTCACTGGCTTAAACATGCAGTTCTGGGGCAGCCCAAGCTGTTGGCTTAGGGTGGGTCCAGGTCCCTGCAGAGGCTTCAACACAACACCCATAACCAGGACACTCAGGCCCATGACAGCAAACTGCAGTCATGGGTCCTGAATGTGCTGTTGGCCATTCTTTGGGTATTTGAAGTCTGTTATCAAGTCCCCTGGGCCAATCTGTTGGGGCAGGGTGGGGAACAGGGGGGCTGTGAACAGCCAGAGAGGCAGAGTGGCCTGTAGAGGGGCTTGTAGGGAGGCATAAGGGACTGAGGAGACAGACAGAGAGTTCATATGGGACAGACACTGGGTGTGGGGGAAAAGAAAGAAAGAAAGAAAGAAATGTAGGCATGGGGAAGGGAAGACACAGCCAGAAGAGGGCCCATGGATGAGCAGGACACTTTTCTGTGAGATGTGTAGGACTCTTCAAACCTTGGGGACTGTGTGGGAGCCATTTTGACTCTCTTTGAGCAAGTGATGGAATAACGGCAACACTGGACAGACAAATAGACTTCTCTGGGGCCCAAGTGAGCACCGAGGATGCTGGGATGGTCTTGACTGCCCCAAGCAACCTTTCTAAATGCTGCAGACTCTTGCAATCTCTGTATTGCTTAGACTTCTTATTGTAGGGGCTTCCCCTGCAAGGACAACAGCAGTCAGTGTGCCCCAGTGGTAGAATAAGTGCTGGGACTCTGGGCACACCTCTGCAGGGATTGTCTTTGCATTTAGAGACCTCTTTCCATGCACTGAACATAGAGGGATGGTTCTGGGTGTGGGTGTAGTTCTGAAGGACTGGTGACTGGCTCTGCCTTCTGCTCCCAGGAAAGCATGGGGGCAGTGTAGCTCACCTCAGGATGATGGACAGCAAAGGAAAGGAGCAAGTACCAGAAAAACTTGCAGGAACTAGGCTCAGCACTGGGCCAGAGGAAGGTCAATGGGGCAGGGGACAGGGAGGCGGGGAGCTAAGCTAGGTTGTGTGCCAGGTATGAGAACAGATTGGGGCAAGGGCACCCTTAAAGGGCCCCATGACCCATTCCCACCTCCTGATCCAGCCAGTGACCCTTCCTGGGGGCTGGATCAGGCCCATCACCCCATGGAAAGGAAAGGCCCCAACCCTGCTCCCTTTCCCAGAAGCCAGCTAGTGCCTGAGCCCTGGGGCATCCCTGAAGGGACCAGAAAGGGGTTTTTTGAGCCCTCCAAACCCTGTTATCCAACACCTCTAGAGCTGATCCCTCCACCCTTTGAGCCACCCTTGGCCTGTGCCTGCTGTTTATTTCTCTGAGTTGGGAGCTGACGCTACCACATGCCATCCCACCAAATCCCTCCATCATGGAACACCTCAGCCTGCCCCCCTCCTCCCTCCCAGTCTGACATTGCCTCCCCAGAAAGGGTTGTCACCAGCCAACACCCTGAAGTGCAATCCCCGCCATGGTGCCTGGAGGCCAAGCAAGCAGCAGCCGCCATCGTGTTCATTGCTTTCATCTGTGCAGCTGCACAGCACCCTGGGTGGGTTGCACAAGGCCAATGCTGCTTGGATCAGGGCTCCCATGAACTGTGACATCCTGAAGGTCCCACCAACCCAGCCATCCTGGGACTCCATGACCAGGGGCCACGGTATCTCTGGTGCCTCATGGCACTTGGGCTCAGCGTGGACCTGCCCTTCTGGTAGTTCCTGCATGCTGAGGCTACACCAGGCTCTTCCACAGAACCAGGCATAATGTTTACTCCCTCCCCCCACCCCAGGGACCTAGACAGCACCCCTGTGCTGTGCATGAGCTGAGGCCTGGCCCCCAGGGAACATTCCTGTTCAGCACCAGGAATGGTAATTACCTGTGACACATTTGACCGTCTTTACAGTGACAGCATCTGGCTTGGTGCCTGATTCTGAACAATGACACCCCAATCCTTCTAACACTTTTAAAATCCAAACCACCTGTACCACAGGAATGGATCTAGGAGGGCAGGATGACTCTGGAGCTACCCACAATTTAAAACTAACGCTAAATAAAGTTGATTCTCTTTATTATCACCTACCCACTTCCTTGTGATCTGTCTTCCCTTCCCCGGAGTTAATGACACTTTCTCCTTTTTTATAGTCTTGGGCCATGTGTAGACAAAATGAGGGGCATGTGTGCATGACACTTTAAAGCGGGTTAAATGCTTTTGCACTGCTTTAATTCTGTTGGTGTTTGCACGTATCAGCGGCATATTGTGCAGTAATTCCAGCCGCTGTAGGAAATTCGTCGGTGTAATGCATCTTAAATGACTTGAGGCACAGCAAACTAAAACTCCTCTGAGGAGTTTTAGTTTACTACCCTACAGCCACGGGGTGAAGCACCAGGCTCTGTGCAGCTCAGGGGTCTGCAGGCAGCCCGTGCAGGCAGCCTGGCAGCAGCCCAGGAAGACAGGCTCCGCCCAAGAACAAAAAAAGCAGTGAGACTGATTTTTTTTTTTTTCCCCTGGAGCCTCCCTGCCTGCCTGAGCGGCATGGGGCCTGGTGCTTCCCTCCATGGCTGTGGTGGCCTCTGAGACTGCCCAAGCCAGGTGCCTGTGGGCGGGTGCTGCCATTGCCACAGAGGAAATCACCCCCAACAGTCCAGTGACCGCTTCACCATCTGGCAGCTTGTCCTCCCCTCCCTGTCGCCGGAGAGGCAAATAAGTGCACGAATGTGTGCACAACATGGGGGTTTACTTGGCCTGAAATTGAAGTGGTGTTTTTAAGAACCCACCGCTTCAATTTAGGGCCCCCGTTTTGTCTACACATGCCCTTGATGTTTCATTAATCAAGCTTCCCTTTCTTCAGCAGTGTTGCACTGGAGCATGGGAAGTCAATTCCCTGCTGGGCTTAAAGTGGGGTGGGGGAGGGGATGTTAGTAAGAGTGTGATAATGCCCGCCCCGTCCCAGTGTGAGCGGTTGGGGAAAGAACTGTGGTGGGACTGGGTGTCTTCATAGAAAGACACCAGCTAGGGAAAGTCCCCAGGATGCCTGGTTGGGTTGAGACCCAGGGAGACATGACCTGAGGGGGAGCCTCAGCGTGAATGAGTGCCATAAGGGAAAGCGAGCCCAGATGTGCTGCCTGGTCTGCCGGCAGCAGCTTGCTCTCCCTCTGTGTTTAACTGTGTAAACAGCTCTGTGAGCACAGAGAAGCCGTGCCCAGGAAGAGAAGAGCACATGGCAGTGGATGGAGGAGAATTTGTGTTTTGCAGAAGTCTGAGTAGGAACAGTTTCTGCAGACTGTGAGACACCTGAGCCTGCGTGGGTACCCTGAGGCAGCTGGAGCCACAAGCCTGTGGTGTGAGGAGTGAGGGACTGCCCCTCCCTCTATTTGTTGGGCATAAGTCAGGGCGATTGGATTTTGGTTGTGCATAGTTAATTAGGGATTGAATATAATGAGTATATAACATAGTGCCTAAAAGTTATTAGCTGTGTATCCATTGATTTGAGCAACCTTTAAGTGTAAATAGTTCTCAACTGTTATTCCTGTAGTAACTCATCCTTGTACATTGTAAATAGAGAATTTCAAACTTTTGATATTATTTAATGTTTGTTGGCATGTAACAATTACCTTCTATATATAATACAATTTTGTAAATAGTTATTTATGAATTTTCAAGGTCTTTCCATTATAAAGGAAGCCTCTCTCAGGAAGCCTCTGGCCGCCCCTAAGTGAGCTGAGCAGTAGGGCTGTGCGAAGCTTCAGCCCATGATTAAGATTCAGAAAAGAGTTGGACAAATTCAGTGGCTGAATCAGCATATCTGAAGCAAATCACTGGCTGTTTTAGGCTTTCTGAATTGATTCAGAGCTTCCAAATCGATTTGGAAAATATTCAGTGACTCAGAGGGCTGTCTGTATGGAGAAACAGAAACTTAAAAGTGGGAGGGGGAGTGGGGGAGGGGGAGAGAGAGAGGGAGCAGGGTGGCAAGACTGACATGTCTAGGTGGACAGTGAACAAGATTTCTCTCTGACTGCCTTTCCAGTTACAGTGTCTGGAGGGAGGGACATAGAAACAACATAAAAGCCTCCATGTGCAGGCGTGCTGTGCCTTTTGTAAGCTGGTTCTGCCTGAGGAACAGTGTGAGAAAGGTACTGTGCACTGCCTGGCTTGCTTTATAGGCAAGAGTTGCTACTTGCCTGTTCCTTTTTTGTTGTTAGAAAGGCTTGGGTAGGATTTAGCTTAGCTTAGCTTAGTTTAGCTTAGCATCTCTTAATATTATCCAATTCATTTCTTTCAATTTATATTTGCTCTCTTTTTTTTGTGCAAATTTGTAAAAGGAAAGCTCAGTATTTTCCCTGCCAGCGTGATCCATCACTGTGCAGGGAGGCATACAGATTACACACACACATGCATATGCACGCAAAGAAAAATCAGATATTCATAGGAGAAGAAGAGGGTCAGATTATATATAGTAGTTATTAGTTATTAATATTATTATAGTTAGTTTACATAGAGGCTGAAGACAGCACAGAAGTCAGATTCAGATAGAGACTAACACAGAACTCACAGTTTTAGAAGAAGGAGATATATCATTTTAGGTACACATTACAACACAGAAGAAGAACAAGAAGTACAGTAGTAGTCACACATTCACATTAATAGAATATCACAGAAGAAGACACCATATATAGTTATTAATAATCAACGAAGAGTCCAGTGAATGCATGCAACACAGAGGGAATAAAACACACAACAGTCACACTCCACATTCAGAATTCATAAAAATAAGCACATCCCAGCAGAGAAGAAGACAGATAGCACACATTCTTTACATAGGCCTTCATACTTATTAGTGAATCAAACAATCAAACCAGAGTCCAGTGCACATGCATAATGCAAAAGAAGCAAACACACAACACAAAAGGAGTGACACACACACCTTTTGCAGCACAGGAAAGATTAATATGAAGCATGCTGGAAAGGCAGGTGCCAGGTCTTCTGGCAGGAGAGGGAGAGGGAGTAGGGGGAGAGCTACAGCTGCAAGTCCACCTCCCACCCCCCACAAACATAGATATATTCTCTTCTCAAGCAGCCATTACACTTCCGCTACCAGTGGAAGCAAGGAGGTAGGAGCAGTGTCTGCACCTAACGTCCCTGCACCTGCACCACCTCCCCTCAGTCTAGAAACAGGCACCAGCAGTGGAATCACTGTCTCCTCTGCCCCAATGTCATCTCTTAGGCGTGAGCCTCCCACTGCCAAAGAAGGAGCTGGAGCTGGAACCAGGGATGCTGAGCATGCTGGCTCAAGCAATTCTGGGGACCGAGGCGGAATCAGAGTTTGTGCTCCACACCCCTCAAATTTCCCCTAGACCCAGGTCTCCTCTGGAAAGCAGCACCTCAGAGGAGGTTGAGGTTGTGGAGGTAGGTGGCTCAGCTGAGGCAGCTCGTCCTGCTGTTGTGCCTCAGCCTGCTGAGGAGTGGGATAAAGCAGGATCCTCACCCTCAACCCAAAAAAGTGCAAGTAGCATAGTGTGGGAGCATTTTGAGCTGGCAGATGATCCCAGGTTTGCCATCTGCCAGCACTGCCAAAGGCACATTAGCTTGGGCAAGGAGGTGAAACACTTTTCCACCATGGCTATGCTGCTGCATCTGAGGAGGCAGCACCCCTTTGCCCTTCTTGCTGCTCAGCCTGGCACCAGTGTGAGCATGCTGAAAGGGAAGTCTCATGCGCGCTCCAAAGCCCCCTTCCCCCCAAAGAAGAGGCAAGCCACCCTGGACCAGTGGGGGAAAGCTGCAGACAGAGACGGGTGAGTTGCAAAGGCAAATTATATCACCCAGGGCACTGGGGAGAAGATTGCTCTGGATAGCCAGTCCTTCTCCCTAGGTGAGCGGCCAGGGTTCAGGTGGCTTGTAGCACTTCTTGCCCTATCTTACAAAGTGCCTGCATGCACCACCTTTAGCAGGATGGTGGTGCCCTCCCTATATGAGGCATGCAGGGAGTACTTGAGGGAGGAGCTGCACAAGGCAGGGCTGCAGGTAGCCTTGCACTTCACCTCTGACATCTGGAGCAGCCGGGGTAGCGATCATGCCTACCTCTCCCTCACAGGGCACTGGTGCGATCAGTCAGGCTGTCAGTGGGCTCTACTGCAAGCCGAGGTGCTGGATGAGTCCCACACGGCAAGGGAGATCATAAGGGCCATAAACCGCATGGTGCAGGGGTGGCTTATTGGGCAGGCCGAGCTCACCTGTGGGTTCATGGTCACCGACAATGGGGCCAATATAGTGAAAGCTGTCCATGATGCCAACTTTGTTGGCATCCACTGTGTGGAACACAGGCTGCACCTCATAGTCAGGGTTGCCTTGAAGGGGGACAGGGCTGCTGGTGATGGTGCTGCCACCACTACTGCTACGAGCCAGGTGATTTAAAAATGCAGGAAGATTGTGGGATACTTCCACCAGAGAGAAAGAGGCTGCAGGAGAAACAAGCAGAGCTGAGCATCCTGCAGCACAAAATCCTGCAGGATGTGGAGACTTGGTGGAACTCCACATATGTGATGCTTGAGAGGCTGGGGGAGCAACAGAAGGCCATCCATGAGATGGCCTTGCTTGGGGAGATCAGGATCAGCAGGCCCCTGAACAGAGCTGAGTGGGGTACCATCTCCCAGATCTCGATGGTCCTCAAGCCTTTCTTCAAGGCCACCGAGACTCTTAGTGCTGCAATACCCTCCTTAGCCAGGTGATCCCCCTAGTGAGGGAACTTGAGAACCAAATGGAGAAGTTCCAGGGGATCAGTGTTCCTGGCTGGGGCAAGATGCTGCCACCAGATGTGCAGGCACTGGTGAGGCGGCTGAAGGAGGGCATCAGGAGACAGCTGGATCCCTTCCGGTCCAGTACAGTCCGCATGATGGCAGGCATGTGCGACCCAAGGGTGAAGAGAAGCATGTGCACTGGCAGCCCCAAAACCCTCGATCACTGGATGCAGGTGTTGGTCAACAAAGTCAGGAAGACCAAAGTGCAGAGGTGTGGGGATGTGGAAGTGGGGGGGTCCACATTCCCAGGCCAGCACTCCCAGAACTGGCACCAGCACCAGCACCAGCCAGTCTCCTCCATGCCAGCCACTGCCAATATGGGCCATGGGCATGGCTTCAATGCTGGGGTCCAAACACACCAGACCCCAGCCTCAGGCAGGCAGCACCAAGGCTTTGTTGGCTACCTATCTCACTGAGGACGTGGAGCCACTGGATTGCAACCCCTTGGCCTACTGCGCAAGCCATAGCTGGATGTGGCAGGATCTGGCCACGGTTGCCTGGCAGCACCAGTCCTGTCCACTGACCGGTGTGCTGAGCGAGAGGGTGTTCAGCATTGCTGAGGATGTTATGACATCCCACTGCACCTGCTTGGATCCTGGTTTGGTGGAGCAGCTGGTGTTCCTAAAGGTGCACCTTCTGCTGCTGGGGTTCCCCAAGCTCCACCTGCAGACAGACTGAGTGCCACTCTCCTCACTCTGTCTGGACTGATTTCCTTTTTTGAGTTTTTTAAAAGCCAGGTAATGCCCCGCTCTCAGCTGGAAGGGGCACTAACTGCATCACCAGCTAGCAGGGGAAGAACATATCCCTGCTGAGCTTATTCCCCTGCCAGGATGAACTTGGAGGTATGGGATGGGGCTATGAGGAAGGAGGAGGCCCCAGGTCCTTGGCATAACCACTAAAATTGCACCCTGCCAGGGTAGGGAGGTCTGGTGGGACTGATGGTAGTGCGGCAGCCCCATAAATGCCAAGACCAATGATCCCCTGGTGAAAGGTGGGTAGGAAGTGCCATAATCTCCAGCTAATGCACACATGCAGACAGTCCTGGCTGGGGAATGCCCAGACCTGTCATGTCTTTGTCAGGCTGAGGAAGCACCTGCAGTTGTGTCTCCTGGTCCTGGCTGGAAGGAATAGTAAAGAAGCCAGAGGCTGGCCTGACACATAATGCAGGCAAGAAAGGCAGTCAGTGAAAATGGAAATGGAGGCATCGGGGGGAGGGACAGGCTGTGGTGGGGGGTGAGGGGAAAAGGAGGATGTAGCAGTGCAGGTAAAAGTGCAGAGATGCCTGGGGTGTCAGAGGTCCAGCAGGTTGCAATGCACCAGAATTCTCCTGTCTATATTGAGTCCATGACTTTCTGTGAGTAGATTAGTCTATACAGTAAAGCATCTTGTATAAACATGGCTTGTGACTCTCAGACTAGGGACAGACATTACACATAAACTGGTTTAAATGATCAGAAACTGGTTTAAACCTGTAACAGAATAGATCTTCAGTGCATATAAACCAGTTTGAGAATGGCTGAAACCGGTTTGAGTTAAATGTGGTTGAATGTAGTATCAGAGTTAACAGGGGTGTACTTGGTAGCCGTGTTGGTCTGAGACAAAAAGACATACAAAAAACTAGAACTCTTGGTTCCACAATGATACATTTTATTAGACCAACTGGAGTTGCAGAACAACAAGAACGTTTTTTACCTCCCTGCCTGCCATCTGACACCTCCAGGGAAGGAATTCTACCTGATCAACACAGCAAAGAGCTACTCACCACAACTCACAAAGACAGTCTCATGGACCCAGAGGGACAGACTTCCATCTGCAGCTCCCTCTGTGCAAAAATGAAGTTTATTTCCTACCTATGGGGACTTTTTACCATCTTGTACCATCTACACTTTTCCCAGAGCCTAACGAAGGGACTTTGATCCCGAAAGCTTGCAGAAAAGGACAATTTTCTTGCCCTTTTCCAGTTTCTCTAATAAAAGGTATAATTTTGGAACCAGGAGTTCTAGTTGTTTGTATGTATCGGAGTTAAGTGATTTAGCTCAAACAGGTTTATGCAATGTCTGTCCCAAACCCCTTGCTGGTTTAAGACAAACCAGACACCCGCAGCATTCCAGCATGCTGTCTGGGCTGGGCAGGATCCTCTATTCCACATCAGGGCTGGCCCCTCCCCTCTGCCTTTGCCTGGCTTCTTTGTGCTAAACAGGGATTACCCCCCACCCCCCCCTAGCAGACATCTCCATATTAACTAGCAGACCACATGCTGGCTACAGTCCATATTGTGAGAAAGACAAAGGCAGAAAGGCTTATTGTAGCTAAACAACAGGTGGCTTAATGTCCTTCCTTGAAAATTATTTGGGAAAAAGCTATTAGCTTCTCCCCACTCTCTGCTAAACACAAATTCCCCCACCCCTCTGCTTTTGCTGAGGTGTTTATTAGCCAGCAGACCACATGCTGGGTCTGTACTGAATCAACAGATACCTGGTAATCTATCTCTGTTGCTTTCTTAATGGGGCTATAAACACCGAGATTAGGGTGATAAATACTGTTATCACTCAGAGATCTGGGTTTTCTTTTTCTCACACAAAATGGAGAAAACCACAGATTTCCCCGGTTTATTAGAGAAAACACAGATTTCTTCTTTTAGCAGAGGAACCCATGGATTCCCCCATTTGCAAAGAGCTCTGCAGGCTGTTTGAGCTCTAGCCTGCAAGAGCTATTGCAAACAGGGCAGGAAACCCTGAGCCCTGCCTGGAGGGACAGGGGGAGGGGGAAGGGCAGGACCTGAGACTCTCAGTCAGCCCTGGCTCGAGACTCATCTCAGCCTCACTCTTTGCTCCTGAAGCCTGTGAGGTAAGTAGGGCTTGAAACAGGTGGCAGAAGTGGGGGAGTCAGCTCTATGTTGCTTCTGCTACAGCTGCCATCTGTTGGGGACAGGGAGTTGCAGATTTGGGTCCCTGGCCCTATAGCCCTGGGAGCTGGGGTCCCCCTCCAGCAGGGCTGGGGGGCAGGGGCTGTGCGTGCAGGGCAAGAGGCATGAGTAGGGTGGGAGGACTGTTGTGGGGGCAGTGAGGGGCACCAGCAGGAGTGGGGGGGACTTTGGGGCCAGTAAGGGGCATCAGCAAGGCTGAGGGGTCTTTGGGAGTGGGTGAGGGGCACCAGCAGGGCTGGGGGGGCTTTGGGAGCAGTGTGAGTGGTTCCAGCAAGGGCGGGGGGATGTTGCAGGGGGCTTTTAATTTTAATAATGGATTTTGAGGGGTTTATCAGAGAATTTACAATTCTTTTTCTCAGAAAAAAACAGGATCCCTGGTTCTCAGCTCCTCCTCCCCGCCCAACTTGCTTGCCTGTCATTTTGCTGCAGACAGTATACAGAAGCAGGGAGGGGGAGTGAAAAGCTCCATATCATCAACACGTGCATGTACTGCACTGCACTGCCCTGCCCCCCCCCAAATGCTAGCCCAGGGCTGCAGAATGGCAACACCCCCACCCCTTGAGCAGCGGGTGGGGAAAAGCCTGGGACTGCAGGCAGGGTGGGGCGCCCTAATTAGAGCCCTGCTGGGGCCTGGCCACAGCCCCCTCGGTTTAGCTGTGTGGAAAGGCAGGGAGGGATGCTCTAGCATCCCCCCCACCCTGCTTCCAGCCTGAGCCACTGCAGGCCTGTGCTTGAATTTCCTCAATACAGAGGGGTTATCTGTATGGTTGGAAACCAGTTCAGCGTAGCCAGATTAGACTAACCTGCAAAGGTTGAATCAGTTCAGACTCAGGCTTTTGAATGTCTTTCCCT